CATCTCCGTTACCACTTCAGAATCCAGTATCCATTCAATTCCGGGCCAAGCCGCGCCGGAGAATCGTGAGTTCAATTCGAAGTAAAATACAATCCATTCATAAAAGCAACGAACCGATGCTCTCAGCCCGCACGAGTTCCTGTCAGTTTCGAGTGGACTTGTTCACAATTCAGGCTCATCAACCTCGAGTTCGATCATTTCTCCATCAACCACTGAAAACCCCTATCATTGTTCCAGCTCACGCCACAACCCACATGGTGTCCAAGCGCTAAGGTTGCATTCATTCTTGAAACGAGTCCAGGGAATTTGCAAAGTTGTTGAATGAGACGCCTGTATTTTTGAATATACAAACGGAGCACAAAAAGCGCCTGTGGACCATGCTTCCTCGCGCCGCTGAAGCCTCAACTTGATCATCGAACCCATTCGTCCGAGAAACTCAAGTTCAATTCTCACGTTGACAATCATTATTGTCCTTTTGTATCCAACGGGTTTCAAAGGTTCAAACAGACAACACCATTAGAGACGCTGCTAACGCCATATTTGACTTCCCTGCCCCCGCTTTGATTCCAAGTTGGTACTGTCAGCCGGAACGGGCTCGTTCCAGTTGCAGAGATCACTCGTGCGTTCAGTGCTAAGGCACACTCATAAAATGACATTGGGACCTGTTTCAACCCGGGCAGCTCACGCCACGATTGGCAGGTACAACGTTCAATGCAGTGAGTCTAGTTCTCTAATGTATTCTGTGACGAAGACGACGATTACGAGACCTCAAAGCACCATAAAAGACATTGTCTTTTTCTTTGGTCCATGTATAACCCTCAGCGTTGGGCGCTAATATCATGGACTGTAGCAAGCGAGCTGCGAAGTCTTCAAGTCGTGTTGCTCATAAATCTGGCATATATACAATTCGAATTTCAAGTTTGATCCTCCTCCGACTCTGAGGGGAGTTGCTCGCAACTCAGAATGAGAAACCTGTTTGGTTTTGTCTCAATCGTGAACTGATCATTGACGCCAACTTGAAAGAGTAGCTCACATAAAGTCTCGCGAGACACGATCATTGAGAGACTAAGTTGTAAGTACAGCCTCTCAATATGTCCTTTTGACCAGGCGTAAAAAGCATGTTTATGTTTGAGAGAACCCCAGCTAGCTTCGAAGCACTCATCTACTACTTCCATTAGCAGAAACATATTCCGGTGGCATCTCGTCCTCAGCCTCCATCCTCTCTATTCTCCGCATCAACAATTGTATCTGTGCCTGCATAGCTCGGTACCTCGACTCGTCGACCGGTCCATTGTCATCTCCGTCAGTTGAATACTCGCCACCTCCGCCACCGCCTCGCTCAGCGTGAGGCTGTTGAGAACCGACACATTGCTCGCCTCCCAGAGGTTCAATCACCCGATGGTCACACCCTTCGGCCATATTTCGTTTTGAGGCCGGAATGGGTGGGAGTGCTTTTCGTTCATGAGAGGAATCCGACACGGGTCCAGTTTTAGGTGGAAAAGGATGAATTATTGCCGTTGCTTTATCAAAGTCTCGTACTCGGCCATCTGCGACAGGTGTCACGGATTGGCGGGGGGGCATGCATGGGTTTGGCTTACCTTTTTCTTGCTTACTTCGTCTCCTGCGCAAGAGGAAGAATATGACGACAAGTACGACCAAAAATACACCACCTCCGACTGAGCCACCGATGATTTCTGCTCGAGAATTACCAGTTTGAGAATTGCCAGTGGAGGTTACTACTGGATGCACAGCCACTATTGTGAAGGCAGAATTGGTATATTGAGTTGTAGGAAGTGCTTCCGAAGGCAACGTGGTTCTGTGGCACACAGTTCACTCAGCACAACATTCTGATGCTCATAAGTCATACTGCACGTACGTTAGAGTAGGAATAGCTACATCCATGGTGAGGAACCTGTTTCGAGTGGCACTCTCCAGATCCAGGTGAACAGTGACAGAGGAGAGAAAGGAACCTACCCAGTATACTGGGCTGATAACCAGAACTCCAGAGGCCCCATAATCTGTGTCCCATCAGCAGCTGCCGCCCCAACCAACACTTCTTTAGTGCCACCCTGCTTGACATTCAAGAGCAGTCTTTGTGTTCCGCTATCGCCATCATCGCGGTACCAGGTAAGTGTTTGGGGGTCAATGGCAGTGATAATAGTGGGTAGACTCTCGAAATGAAAGGCCTGTATTCCGATGAAGAAGATGCCAGTAAAAAAAGGTCGGCTGTAGGAGAGCAATCAGTCAATGTTTTGCCAGGCCTGCCATCTGACTTGGATACGGTACGTACTGCAGTCTCATGGCTCAGCGGGAGAAGCTCAACGGGGGAAAAGAAGGGATACCCTGTAAGCCTTCAGATCTCACAATAAGTATCGGAAACAGACAAGGTTTGATAAATTATGATTCACATAAGATGCTCCGACTGATGAAGAGGAGATGAACTTATGATTTCCATCTTTTTCTATTCTAAAGTGACTTCCGCAGTTGCTCGATGCTTTCGATACTCAAGAAGCAAAAAGTGTCAGTAGTAGTAATAGACTGCGCAAAACGACCATGGCCAAAAATGACGTTGCGCAGCACGGTCACAGCCGTGATCAGCATTGCGCAGTCTCCCCACCAAGTCTCCAGAAGCCCCACTTTGGCCATAAATCTTGAAGTTTAATCTTCGGCCACAGTTAATGGGGTTCTAGCTTGTGGTGCTGGTGGAGCGCAACGTCAATGACGGCGATAGCCGTTCTGCGCAGTCTAATGAACAATCAGGCTTATGTTGGACTGGGCTATCGGGGACGAAACTCCTGGATATCAGGGATCGTGGTCGCTGTGGTATGTTGTGTGCTGTCTACTTACAGACACTAAGCTAAATCTACACTATAAGGGTTGATTTTGAATCCTCTATCTTGGCCAGAAACTGTGTTCCCGATCCCCTACTACAACGTATCAAAGAGGCTGTAAAAAGTCGGATAATTGTACTGAGGAGTAACCGTATCCTCTCTGAACCCCCGGGTGCATATTACAGCCACATCACTTCATCGCTAAGAAAGCACCGCCCTGTCACATTTCCCGAGAAGTACTGCATAGGGAATCCCCAACTCCACACCCCTCGATATCTACGATGTAAATAGGCCTGACAAATTTCCAAAGCCGACACGAATCAAGTGGTCATCCCTCTCAACCTCCAACGCCCTTTGAACTAGCCCCCTCCATCTTTATCAGTCATCGCGCGGGAGATAAAGGGAGAGAGAGAGAGAGAGAAGCGTATATGTCGACCGGGGCGTCTTTGTCGAGACTCGGAGGGCTGGATGTTGAGGGTTGTGCGAGCTCATCAACTCAACCCCTCATATCCTTCCTGTCAAGGCGATTAATCTTTTGAATGTCAATGGATTGAAAGTCGGACGACCGGTGTTTTGGGAGCAAGGGAGAACGTTCCTTCAGACATGCATCGACGCGTGGTGAGGCACGAGAAATTGGAGGTCGGGGGTAAGGGCAGCTGTTTATCCGGCCTTTAGTGTATAGCCACGAGTGGGACAGTCAGAGAACCATCTGCACTATTCCACTTTCCACCGCCTACGTTTACTATGTAGTGATATAGCTATGAACTCGGTGAATTCCGTGAAATCTGTGACTGTGAGAGTGGACAAACGACTGTAGGATGCATACATTTTGAAGCGGTTTCTACGCCTCTGTACTTTAGCAGTCTACGTATTCACACATACTAGGATTGTGAACTTCCTCGCGGGATAGAATCAGAGTCTAGAAAACCAGCGGTTCGTTCCCTCTCGTTCGGCGGCGCCAATGTATCTTTGTGGCGACTTTCACTCTCACAATTAGTATAGGCCCAAAATCCTGCCTTCAACTTGTCTTTTGAAGGTTCGAAAACTGTCCTTAAACGGGTCTTCAGCCGACCTTAAACCACCTTTACCCTGCCTATGATGGACAATCACCTGCCATTACTTCCGCAATTCCGGCCTTTACCTGACCTTCACCCAACCTTCAGTCAGCCTGTACCCTCCCTTAATTCTACTTTCATCTAGCCTTCAAGGGTGCGATAGACGACTTGAGTTGGCGGACTCGAGACCCAGTCCCTCGCAGTTATATCCATACGACCTTTTTTACCACACGTGCGCCCTTTACCCTGCCTCTACCAGACAAACCTCATGAGCCCGACGGCGGTGAACTGTAAGAGACGCTTTCAACAAGTTGCACCCCGAAGTGAGGGTTTCTGCAAGTTGAATGCGTTATGCGGGCTTTTTTGACCTAGGCAGTGCTGGCTAGATCTTTCCTTCCAGGTGCTTACTCATTGCTATAGGAAACAAAGAGGTGGGTTGTCTTTTCTCAATCTTCTGCGAGTTTAGTGTTTCGTTTCTGCAGTAGCCCGTAGACAGACTGTTTTCCTGCTTTCCATCGCCGTTCCCAGTCCGCTTCAATCTTGACAATCTCTATGATAGTCAGCCGGACTAGGACTCGTTCCAGTAACCAGTTGCGGAGAGCTTGAGATCAAATGCTAACCGACACACACGCACTCAACCGTCCGATAGATACGGCTCTCGGATGGAATGAGCCTAGTCCAAGTCTCTGACAAAGACGACTAGGTCTCAAAGTACGATCACGACCATGTATTTTCTCCACGCCGTCCTGAATCTCAATGTTACCCAAGTAGCTCCCACGACCCACGCCACACTTATACTTCTTATCCTCCGTTAGACGTAAACCTCGAATACCTTGTCACCACACACGCACTCCAAGTCGTGCAAGACAAACGAGACCTTATGTACCTCACAAATCGCGACCCCTTTGTCACCTGGGCTCGCAGCGTCAAAAGACTCCGTCGCTCGTGAATCACAGACTAAAAAGAATAGTCCCTATCGAAGGTTCAAAAACACTGGGCTGGGACTTGACGCCTGGATAGAGCAGTTCGCGGGCGAGTATGTATATTGGCACCAAACAATGAATTGATACCCGGGAAACACAAGATAAGAAAAAAGAAGACAGACTGAGGGAATTGGCCAACGTGGGGATCGAACCCAAGACCTTCGCGTTAATATCGCCGCAATCACGTACTATATTAGCACGACGCTCTAACCAACTGAGCTAGTCGGCCATACCTATCGTTGCCTTCCCGGAATCAAATCCCCCCCCCGCTCCCCTTTCATTGCCAACCACAAAACCAACATAAACCTCGTACATCTAAACACCATACATCTTCCTCGCATTCTCCCTCCCAACCTCCAGCACCTTCATACTATCCCACCCATCCCCATCCGTTTCTCCCTCTTTCTCTTTCAAAACCCCCGAGACGAAATCAGCCGTCCAAGGGATCATCGCGCTATGACTCAACGGAAGCCGGTTACCCGATAACGAAGACAAAGAGGCGTAGATGTTGGCTGGGACCATGTAGGGGGCGTCGGTTTCTAGGAGGATTCGGAGGTCGGAGGGGGTGGAAGGTTGGGGGTTCATTTGGCGGATGACTTGGGCGGTGTTGAGGTTTGTGGTGAATGTTATCACGCCTGTTGGTGAGGGTCGGGGTTAGTAGGAGAAATAAAGAGGGAAAGACGGAGGGAGATGGTACCTGTTATACCGATGTAGAGGTTGGGAAAATGGGAGAGGAGACGTTGAGCGAATTCTGGGGTGTCGGTGAAGCAGTGGATGTGGATCTGTGTACGGTTAGGGTCGAATCAAGCAAAGGTAACACGAGCGGCGTACCCGATGATCCTTGGGGACAATCTCCTTCAATATCCTCTCAGTATCGTCATCTGCTTCTCTCGTGTGTATAGTCAACGGTTTTCCGAGTCTGACTGCGTGGCGAAGTTGACGGGAGAAGACTTGTCGTTGGATTTCTCGGGGAGAGTTGTCGTAGTGGTAGTCGAGTCCCATTTCGCCCCAGCCGACGCAGCGAGGGTGGCTCATCGCTTCTAGTCTGTGGTATGGGGTTATTAGGGCAACTGGCAAGACACGAAGAGACGACGGCGCACATTTCACGTTCGATGTCGTCTGTGTATTCCTTCGCGTTGTGCCTGTCAAGACGATTCATATTCCGCCGAGAAGCCAGCCCGCCAAAACTTACGGATGTACGCCTTTAGAAAACGACATTCAGCTCTCCACACAACAACACAACACGACATGAAAAAAGACAACTTACCCATAACAAACCAATACTCCAGCCCACCCCACTTCGTCCGTCTATCCTCCTCCGTCAACGCAGAATCCGCAAACTCCTTCCATAACCTCTGCACCGGTGCTTCACACCACACATCTACAATCGCATCCACCCTCTTCCCTTCGTACATCCCTCGGACAAAGTCATACACTGTTTCGTATTTGGCTGTTTTGAATTTGTTTCGGTAGGTTTCGTATGTGGATGCGAGATGGGTATGGGTGTCGACGATGGATACGGATGATGAGGAGGTTGGATGGGCGGGGAGGAAGAGTTTGTCTTCGGTGATGGAACTTTTCTTTTTCCCCATAGTTTTTAGACGACGATGGTGGGTAGCGTAGGTTTTGAATCTAAGAGATGACGATGGAGGATGGTGGAGGAGCGATAATCGCGAGGCTGCTCGTGTTGATCCAGGTGGAAGGAAAAAACGGAGCATTATGTAATCTCGGGACCAACGAGTCAGGCTTATGTACCTTGTAAGGAACCGAGCGCCGACCGGGACCGATGACATCTTTGAGCGCTTGTGGCTATCTCGCTCGGTCGCTCGGTTACTTTGTCTGTTACCCTCGCCATGTCGTTCCACCTCTCGTTCCTGACCCATCTCTATCCTAAAGATAATGAGCGAATCTCGCTGCAGCTCTTAACTCACCTCTTCAAAGCTACTATGTATCAAATATCGATTATTCGCCGTTGGAATACTCCTAGTCTAAAAACCATGCCGAGGATGATCTCTTGGAGCAGAGGGGGACCCAGAACCGTCCGTACATCGCATGGTCCCAACTCCTCCATCGATGACTTTTGAACGAAATTTTACGTAGCTTGCAGTGTGTTGTTGGAAGGAGAACAAATATTACCAAAGGATTATCAGCCTGGGTGTGTTTTCCGTTCCTTTTTTTACGGCTCATCTAATAATCGAACTAGTGTCTCGGGCTGGCTTCTTTATATTCTGATGCACCTACTACTATACTCCATTCATAAACTCACCATTATCACTTCCAGCAACAGGCTCGCCTTCCTCAGAACTTGAACCAGGCACTCATCATTTCACTATATTTCTCGTTGTTCATTCTCCCCGAATACCGACGACTCTCGAACCCGCCTGAACCCGCGCACCATTGTCTCTTCGCCTGTCTACGTTAGTATATCTCAATATTGGTGATGTTCGTCTCATTCGCCTGTAATTCATGCCACCAGACTATCAAGATGTGCACTCGCCACTCCCCGATGACTGTAAGGGGCGCCAGCTGACTTCTTCGGAGGAAGCTGATGCTAAACTCAGCCCGCAGAGATTTCCACTGCTAACTGCCAGTCTACCGCACTTCAGTCATGTGGATATTCCTAGCTGATGGATACAGGTTATAATTGTATCCAACTCACGCAGACGGAAGCCCTCCCCCCCCGCATTGTCTTTTTCAACTTGCACGTCACTTTCATTGACGACTTTTACACGGGCTCTTCGGTCATTTCAATAACCCGACAACAGACATGCCTGATGCTTAAAGCTTTGGGACTGCTTGAACCTTGAAAATAACTCCTCGAACCGCTCCAGATGTGAACAAAGTGGAGAGCATCAATCAGATCATCAGCTGTGAATTATCAAACCTTGTTTATTTTCGATCCTGTACTTATTGTGGGATTTCGGATCTCGACAGATATCCCATCTTTCCCTCTTCCTCCTTCCTTTCCTCTTAATGATGAAGCCTTGGTACGTGCCACATCCATGTCAGGTCTAGAGAAACATTGGCCAATTGCTCCCACTCTTCCCCCATACATTTGGCCCCTTCTACCTAGCATTCTCATCCTATTGTATCTGCTCCGTGGGATGCAGGCTTACCATTTTGACCAACTACCAGCTACTATTACTGCCTTTCGGCCACAAACAATTAGCTGGTTCCGCGATGCTGGTGATGGCAGTGCAGCAGGAGCCATGGGCTTTGGGCTAGTCGGGACAAACACCGATGAGTTTGTAACAGCGAATTTTGACGGGACACAAGCCGAGGGGCGGCTGATATTCACAGCTACAAGAACTGGGTGGGTCCTTTGTTTTCTCACAGGGCTGTTCGTGTATCTAAAGGGTGACCACTTTACCCGAGACAGTCGTCTCACCGTGTTTGAAGAAGCAGACATATTAGCAACGTACGTGTGTCTACCATGAGCATCTGAATGTCGCATTGAGAAGAACCGTGTATCTCAGACTGGGGACCCGGTCATTCTTTTCAGGTGGTTTTTTAGCAACCACACAGGTTATGATTGTGTCCCCTGTAGGTTCCGTGACTGGAACCATGCCGCCACAAACGTCAAGGTGAAGAACAACAATAACTCTTCTTCATGCTCGGGACCTCAGGGCTAACAACTTTACCTCCCAGTGTACCGTCTTCCACCCCCACTGATTCCAATACCTCCGCCTCTAACAGTTTTCGAGCAAAGATCATCGGTGGCGCAGTCGGAGGCGGTGGTTTCCTCATTGTCCTCATCGTCATATTCCTCTTCCGCAGGCGAAGAAGTAAGCAAGCAAGAGGTAAGTAATAACCACACAAACTCACGCATCCTCGTACTAATTCATGACGCTCGTTGTAGTCCGACTACAGGACCCTGATAAAGCAGCGGCAGTCATTGATCCTTTTACACCTACAACTACCGTGTCGAATCCCCCTCGTGAACGGAAAGAACTCCCATCCATGCCGGTCTTGAGCCGAAAGGCTATGGAAGGGTCTAGCCGTCGGGTGACTGAACCTACGGGGGGCGAGCAATCTACCGATCCTCGACAGTCTCACACCGAGCAAGAGGCCGACGAAAGTGGCCAAAATCCAACTCTCGTACACGACAACGGACCAATTGACCGAGCGAGCTATCGGGCTATGCAGGCCCAGGTACAACTGTTGATGCAAAAAATGGAGAGGATGGAGTCTATTGAAGAAGGGCCACCGGAATATGTTTCTGCTTATGGGAGTAGTAGATGACTACTTTATAGCTATCTTTCTTTGTCTGACCAACCTATATGTGGGTGCAATGACCCTGCTGTGCCTGTGATTTTACTTTGTTGTTGTAGGAAACTATGTACGTCCAAGACCTTCTCATTGATCCCTGTAGCAAGGACACATCCTCAAAATACCTTTAAAACTGTCTTTCTATGTCAATTCGGTTACCCAAGGACCAAAAATGACAAGTGGCCCATCGGGATACCTTTGACTCTGCCCCGGGCACCAATTAAAATCTTGAGCACTCACAGCAAATAGTCAGAGAGGAGATTATCACAGCACTACTGAAGCTCCATATCACGCAAAGATGCATTGTTCTATACAGTCCACTCACCAAGAAGGACAGTTGGGTACCAGACCCAGAGAGAGCGCCACATTTTAACATCGAAACGCGTCTCAACATTCGGGGTTCAAATATGACTTTGAGCGCTTCTCGAATATTAGGATAACGGCCTTCACTAGTGCCACCCAGTGTGCTCAGGACGCTGTCTTCCGTGATAGAAAACTGTCTGCATGGTGGCTAGGATGTGGCTGGATGAAGTGGATATCTTCCAAGCGACTTGAGTACGTCTCCAGTGTCTTTACCATTTACCTTCACAGCTGTGACAATGTCACTTTCTTTCGAGAAGCCCGAAGGATCGAGCGAACTTGGACCATCGAGCAGAGATCCGAATATTCATAATACGTAGCGGGATCTGATCATCCGAGTAGTATGGCCAAAATGAATGGTGTTTTGTACAGGGCACAGCGATGACCGTAGACGGTGCCGACTTGACTATCGAATGGATCTTGATAACCATGGACCATCCCACTTTTTTCAGTTCATAAACTACATAGATAATAGGTTATCCGGACCGCCTTCAAATTGGTTTCTCGGTGCTTGAACTGATGGTACCGTTCCTTCCCTCCAGCTCAAAGTACTTGCACGTCCCACTCGGTGTTAATATAAGCCTAACGGCTTCATTCTAAACCTTCAGCCTGTAATATGAGGCTCGTGTTCCAGAAGTTTGGCGGTTAGAAATTCGTCCTTAGTGTTTGATGACTCGTTCGCTTGAGTCTGACATATTAATTCTGAACACAAAGCTCAACACAGGTTACGGATCGTCGGAAACAGAAACTTGACATCAGAGAAAATTGTAGCGGTGAATACTTACTTGAACTTTCAGAGGATAATAAACTTGTGCAGGCTGAATGCCAGGACTCAACTTGGCTGGTGCTGGTTGAGTGTGATCACTCGTGATGGCGTCCAAAAGGCAAAATAAAAATATTCGTTCTTGTCCTTGCGCGTATCCAAGTCCACGATTGGTAGGAGCAAATCGGTCGGTACAAGTATCGAGGCGGATAGCCAAAGCAAAGCGTAGCCAAGACCTCAAGCGGAGACGAAAATTAACAGTCGTATGTGGACTTCTATCCCTCTACTCGTTCACCCATCACGAACATCTTCTTCATGAGGTCAGATGTATTCTCGAGACGGGAAGTATCAAGAGAATGTACAGCTATTTACATCACTCGACATCTCGGTATACTTGAGAGTCGACTCACAGGCAAGGGTGCGTATCCTACGTTCTGGATACTCGTATTTTGCCCGCTTATCATTGGACAATAGCAATATCGAGAGTGTTCATACACGCCTGATGTTTTCCCGGGAAAACTGAACATATTGAAACGGTCGACAAAGGCGCCGGGTGAACCGAAGTCAGCAAGACGGGAACTAGACAATGCATGTCAATTTTTCAAACGACAACGAGGACGGCCGATATCATCATCAGGAAAAACAGCTGACTGAGCACCAGACTCGTCTATCTAATTTCCATCTTTCCGTCGTAAGTTGTCATTTCTGAATGTTGTGAAGATCTTGCCAGCCTTACTCATGCCTTACCTTCGACTTCACGGACAGGATGCAAACTCAACGCCACTCCGAAACGCGAACGACCCCACCGGTGAACAACCACCTGCCTTTACTTTCGCAATTCCGGACTCCGCCACTCGTTGGAATGATCAGCGTAACCGAACTGAAGAGAACGGTCCTTGTTGATGCACCGGTCCGGCTAAAATGCACGACGCAATGAATCAAGTACGAAACGATTTATCTATGCCCTATATCCGTGAATAAAAAAACAACAACAGGGTTGTAAGAGGGAATTGAATCAACCTGGGGAGAACCCAAAACCTTCGCGTTAATATCTCATGCAACCATATGTGCTATATCAACACGACGCTCCAACCAACTGAGCTAGTCGGCCATAGCCCACCATCTCCAATACGAACACATATCCCCACTTCCCTCTCCCTCCTAACACGAAACCAACTTAAATCTCGTAAATCTACACACCATACACCTTCCTCGCATTCTCCCTCCCAACCTCCAACACCTTCGTACTATCCCACCCGTCCGTTTCTCCCTCTTTCTCTTTCAAAACCCCCGAAACGAAATCAGCCGTCCAAGGAATCATCGCGCTATGACTCAACGGGAGCCGGTTACCCGATAACGAGGAGAGAGAGGCGTAGATGTTCGTTGGGACCATGTAGGGGGCGTCGGTTTCTAGGAGGATTCGGAGGTCGGAAGGTTGAGGTTTCATTTGGCGGATGACTTGGGCGGTGTTGAGGTTTGTGGTGAAGGTTATTACGCCTGTTGGTGGGGGTGGGTGGAAGAAATAAAGAGGGAAAGAGGGAGGTGGAGAGTACCTGTTATACCGCTGTAGAGGTTGGGAAAGTAGGAGAGGAGACGGTGTGCAAATTCTGGGGTGTCGGCGAAGCAGTGGATGTGGATCTGTGCACGGTTAGGGTCGAATCAAGCAAAGGTAACACGAGCGGCGTATCCGATGATCCTTGGGGACGATCTCTTTCAATATCCTCTCAGTATCGTCATCTGCTTCTTGCGTGTGTATAGTCAACGGCTTTCCGAGTCTGACTGCGTGGCGAAGTTGACGAGCGAAGACGTCTCGTTGAATTTCTCGGGGGAGTTGTCGTAGTGGTAGTCGAGACCCATCTCTCCCCAGCCGACACAGCGCGGGTGACTCATCGCTTCTAGTCTGTGGTGTAGTGTGAGCAGGGCAGCGTGTACGATAAGATAAGCTTGCGTACATTTCACGTTCAATATCGTCGGTGTATTCCTTCGCGTTGTGTCTGTCAAGACATTCATCTTTCGTCCAGAGTCCAACCAGCCAAAACTTACGGATTTACGCCTAGAAACAATATTCAGCACCCCGTATAACGAGAGAACGACGAAAGAAAAACCAACCCATAACAAATACTCCAACCCACCCCCCTTCACCCGTCTATCCTCCTCCGTCAACGCAGAATCCGCAAACTCTTTCCACAACCTCTGCACTGGTGCCTCACACTACACATCTACAATCGCATCCACCCTCTTCCCTTCGTACATCCCTCGGACACTGAAGTCATACACTGTTTCGTATTTGGCTGTCTTGAACTTATTGCGGTAAGTTTTGTATGTGGATGCGAGATGGGTATGGGTGTCGACGATGGATACGGATGATGAGGATATTGGGTGGGTAGGGAGAAAGAGTTTGTCTTCGGTGATGGAGTTTTTCTTTTTTTCCCATAGTTTTTGAACGGTGGTGGTGGGTAGTGTAGGTTCGGAATCTAAGAGATGATGGAGGAGGATAGCGAAGGAGCGATAAACGCGAAGCTGCTCCGACTCGTGTTGATCCAGGTGGAAGGAAAAAGCGGAGTATTATATGATCTCCGGGATAATGAGTCAGGTTTATGTACCTTGAAAGGAACCAAGCGCCGACCGGGGCCGATGACTTCTTTGGGCGCTTGTGAGACGAGTCGCTTTGCCACGCGTTTCGTAAACGCTGTTCCCTTTACCCTGAACCCATTCCTTCGAGCAAACATCAATCTTCTCGCCACACGATATTGTATATGACCAATGCCCAACGAAAGCTCACCTTTCATCAAAAGATCGACTATTTGCCGCTTACTAGCCTCAAAATTAACCCAGCCTTGCTCGGTGAACGTTGAAGGAGACGTATATTTTCTTCTCCCATGAACTTTAGGAGACTTTGGACCGGGATGAGGGCCGAAGAGCAACGGAATGGAGTTTAGGTGCGCTTTCCGCTGCTCTTATCCATTTCAACCCGGGCTCACTCTTTCATCCATGCCGCATCGCTACCCGATAATATTCCAGCTTTAACCGTTCGCAACCCCCCCCTCCAGGAATGCCAGATCTCAAATGCACAGTCACTTACCTTCAAAAAACTGGACGGAAAGTCTCAGACACGATAAACGAAGTCTAACTCTTGATTGAAAATGGACCGTGGTGCTTGCTCTCACGTTGATCGGTCGCTTTTATCTCAGACTGTGTCGTTAGCCTTCAAAGCTTCACCGGCGCCTTTCGGAAACGCTTCTCCCCTCCCCTCTCCAGCTCTAATTCATCTGAGATCTTCAAGTAAACATCGAACGTACTCAATTCACCTATTCTCCCGCATCAATTATCTACCGCTAGATTCCTACTAGCCCAGACGAACCGTCAATCCCATCACATTTGGACCATAAAGCCCTCTGCACATCACAAATGACCGACTGTCGGACATATGTACCGTGCTACTTTCCTGCGGGAATCGAGGTTACTTTAGACCGGGAACCGCGATGCATTTTCCGTTCCTTTTCTCTTTTTTTCACGACTCGTCAGGCTGGCTTATTTGGATCAAAAACGTCGACGCACATATCAGATTCCCTTATTCTGCCTTCCTCAGAACATGTGCCAGGAGCTCATGTATGAATCTATTACCTTTTTAGCTGTTTTACCGAAATCATATCAGCCATCTGGCTGCAGTGGACCAAATTTTCCGTAGTATAAGCCCTGGAAAGTCGTGTCGCTTCTGTTCAATCATTTCATACGCGTACTCGGACGAGAGCACAACACCCCTTGATAGTCTCGAGCTTTGGGCTTCAAGTCGCGCACAAGCTGGGTGAACAGCTTGTGCGCTTATCACTCAAATGATATCGACTGGTTGCTCTAAATCTTGAGGGTTGTCCGGAGTCTGGATATCGTCTCTGTCAGTTGTCTCGCATCGTACGCGGAGGGCCTCGTCGCTGTTCACTTCCTTGTGTAAGTCACACTTCTTGAAATAGTCGTAATCGGGGTTCTGGGCAGTGTCCTCTCAGCGATGAGATGATCTGATTGAGATGTAAACCCGAATGTCCAGAGTTGGTTGCCCCTGGCAGTTGTAGACCTTTTTACAGCCTCTTTGATTGTTCTAATTGACACATCAACGCTTTCGCTTGTTGAGTCTCAGGAGCATTGAGGAACTGTGAGAATAACTCCAGAATAGAGAAGAAAAGATGGAAAAGATGGTTTCCATCTCTCTTTCATCAGTCAGAGCATTCGGCACTGACTATCAAACCTTATCGATTCTGGATACTTATGTGGAACCTCGAGGCTTGTTGGGTACCCCTTCTTTCTATCTTCCTTTCGGAGTTCTTTCCTCTGCCCGAAAAGCAATGTCGAGGCTTTGGTACGTACCGCATTTCAGTCAGGCTTAAAGAAACCTTTACCAATGGCTCCTCCCCTTAGGTGGCCGCTTTCGCCTGGCATCCTCTTGCTGTCGTCTCTCTTCTACGGAATACGGGCCTACCATTTCAACGAACTACCACCTACTATTACTGCCTTTCAGCCACAAACGATGACCTTGATTCGTGACGACAGCGACCGAGTTGGACGCACGCTGTATTTGGATACATTTGATTCGCAAGACAATGTATTGGGCGGGATGACAACAATTTTTGACGGGACACAAGCAGAGAGGCCAGTGATATACACGCCGATAACCGCTGGGTAAGCACCTTGTTCTCTCGCATCGTTCTGGATATGGATCTGAAGAGTAGCCACTTGACCCAAATTGCTATTAGTCCTCTCTACATGCAAGCTGGATTAGCATTTGATCAAGGACAAATGTACATGTCTCCAGTATGAGCATCAGAGTACTACACTAATCGTGTATCTCAGGCCAAATCAATCAGGACCTTCTTGGACGTTGCTCAAAGTCCTTAAGGTAATGGTCGTGTCCCCTGTAGAGTCTGTGGGAGGAACCACGGCGCCACCAACGTCAAGGTGAAGAGAAACAGATATTCGTCCTCTTCTCGGGGCTTTAAGCTTTGAGGCTAACAATATTACCCTCCAGTGCAACGTCTTCCGTAACAACTGGTCCCACAGCTTCCAAACCGCCGTCTCCCACAATAGCCAATGATTTCAATACCTCCGCCTCCAACAGTTCTCGGGCGAAAATCATCGGTGGCGCCGTCGGAGGTGGTGGGTTTCTGGTTGTCCTCATCGTCATATTCCTCTGGCGTAGGCAAAGAAGCAAGCAAGCAAGAGGTAAGAATTAATGCGCCAACTCACACATCCTTGTACTAATTCACGACGTTCATCGCAGATTGGCGAGTACAGGGCGTCGATCAAACAGCGGCAGTCATTGATCCCTTTCCATCTACAACTCCCGTGTCAAATCCCCTTTCTGAGCGGAAAGAAACACTACTCATGCCAGCCTCGGACCGAAAGGCTGTTGAAGGATCTGACCATTTGGTGGTCGGACCTATGGGAGGCGAGCAATCTATCAATCCTCGACAGCCTGAGACTGAGCATGGAGGTGGCGAGAGTTTGACCCGCGGAGATGACAACAGACCAGTTGACCAGGCGAGTTACCGGGCGCTGCAGGCACAAGTACGGTTGTTGATGCAGAGAATGGAAAGGGTGGAGGGTGTAGACGAGGCGCCACCGGAATATGTTTCTGCTTATGGGAGTAGTAGATGAGTGTATGGCCGTCTGTTTGTGTCGAACCCGATACTTTGATTGAATAAATCCCCTGCCATACTTGTAGCTTTACCCAGTGGTCATTGAATGAGTATGCACGTCCAAAACTTTCTCATTAATCTATGTAGCAGGAAAACATCATCGAAATATCTTTCACATCGTCTACTTCAGTCAGTTCGTACGCCCGAAGACCGACAATGGAACGAGTGGGCGGCCCACTTTCGCTTGCTCAACCATTTTTATTGTGACATGTCATCTCTTAGCCTAAGTAACACGAGTTGGCACTATAGATTTCTACGCTCGACAACAAAGGATTGGCCAAAAGTCTCCAATAAACACCCGTCACAGAGCGTTCAATCGAAAGCTGTTCGTCGACGAAATAACATTTGGCAATGTGATTGGTCTCTGGTTGGTCTCTTGTATATGCTTCGGCTCGCCTCGTAGGCATTGGACGATACAGCTGCG